GTCGGTCGCAAGAATTGGTCTTCGGAAGAAGATTTGAAAGAGGTGGATGAAGAATTGAAATGGTCGTTGGGTCGGTCAGAAGAATTGACCTTGAGAAAAAGATTTGAAAAAAATTGATGGAGAATTGAAATGGTCGTCGGGTCAGTCACAAGAATTGTCCTTGGAAAGGATTTGAACGAGATGGATGAAGATTTGAAATAACCGTCGGGACGGTTACAATAGTCAACCTTGAGAAGGGGATTGAAAGAGATAAAAGCAAAATTGAAAGGGTCGTTGGGACGATCATAAAAAACAACCTTGAGAAAGGAAGTGAGAGAGATGTGGATTGGAAAGACCGTTGGGACGATCATGAAAAGTAGCTTTGGGAAAAGATTGAGATTAATAATTGAGAGGGGTCAATGAGTCGGTCATGAAAAATGGCCCCAACTGAAAAGAGGTCGTCAGATCAATCATGAGAATCAGCCTTGAGAAATACTTGGAAAAAACATTTGATTGAGCGTTTAATTGAGAATTGCAAATTGTATTGCATAAACAGGGGACCCTAGGCACCCGTAAGTTATAAAGGCCACGTATTGAATGAATCAATTTTTCTTTTCTAGTCTCATGTCTTAATGGAAGGGCAGAAATCGGTGCTAGTGTCGTGGTCCCAGGAACTCTGCCACATAGGAAAATATCTAAGCGTGACCTGTTTTTTCGTAAGCAGGAACACAAGGTTAAAGGATCATGATATCGTCAATGATGCTCAACATCCAAAACCAAGTTTGGCAACGAGTTCGAGTACAAAGGTTCGAATTGCGTCTCACGTTGAGTTTCTGAAACGTTCAGGGTGTTTGTGTGTGTGTGTGTGTGTGTGTGTGTGTGTGTGTGTATGCACGGGTGTGTGTGTGTGTGTGTATGTGTTTGCGTGTGTGTGTGTGTGTGTGTATGCGCGCCTGTGCGTGTGTCGGGGGGAGGGGAGGGAGGACCCCTCCCCCATCAATCAATCAATCAATCAATATTTATTTTTTTTTCAATTTTTTTTATTTTTTTATCACACACTCAAAACCACCCCCACATTTTTTTTTTTTTTTACAGGGTGATAACGGCCGATGTGCGCAGGCCGCGCGTGTGGGTCGTTTTCCCGCACACGCGGGTCGTTTTCTCGTGCACGCCCCTACCTGGGTCTGGCGTGGCCACGTCCAAACTCGGTCGCGCGGGATCCGCGGCCGACGGTGTCACGTAGGGACCGAGAGATGCTCTTCTAAGTCTCATTGACCCTCTGCAACCACACGCCACATCGTTGAGGGGTGGCCGGACTGTTTGGGATGGACGAAGGTTGCTCGCGCTAAGTCGAGCGATACTGTTCATGAGGGAGGTCGGGCGAGGTGTCGGGTGGAATTCGCCACCACCACAGGGCATTGACACCGCCCTGCCGGATCATTAAAACCATTCCGGGACTAACCGCGAGGTCTTCGTAACGCCACTTGCAAACTAATAGAGAGTTCCAACTCTCTTGAAAGGAAGAGGTAGGATCAAGAAAAATTACCACTCGGGAGGAACGATTCGCGAGGGAGCCACTTATGGTAAGATGGGGTCCTAGGAGGCATGAACTGGACCTATCTGTCAGATGCGAGGTGGTGCCTTAATGATGACGCCCACCTCTAAAGAAGTGGCCGTGAGACTAAGCAGGGAGGATGAGGTGAATTCTCAGCAGGGGGAGGACCAATCACCCTTCCCTTTTGGGACTGATGGGCTGATATCCTCCACCTAGTTGGCAGGCAAGGTCTACGTACCTCCGAGTGAGAACCAGTTGCGCGATGGGGACGTTTTAAGTGCGGGGAAGGTGTGTCATCTACCTGATGAAAAAGCGTGTGAAAAAGAATAACAGTCAAAGGGATAAAATTGCTATAAACTTGAGAAAAGTCTGGCAAGATGTCCAAAAAAGTTGCATGTAAAATTGATTGAGCTTAGGCTTGAGAAAAGTCTGGCAAGATGTCCAGAAGAGATGCATACAAAATTGATTGAGTTTGGGCTTGAGAAATGTTTGGCAAGATGTCCAAAAGAGATGCATGTAAAATTGATTGAGTTTGGGCTTGAGAAAGGCCTGGCAAGACGTCCAGAAGAGATGCGTGTAAAATTGATTGAGCTTGGGCGTGAGAAAGGTCTGGCAAAATGTTCAAAGAGATTGCATGTAAAATTGCTCGAGGACGGGTTTGAGAAAGACCTGACAAAATTGCCCTGAGAAATTGCATGGGAAATTGTTTGAACACATGCGTGAGAAAATCTGACTAAATACCCAGAGGACCCGCATAAAAAATCGTATAAGAAAGGACTGAGAAACTTACTAGAGCAGACTGCGGGATTGCAAGAAGTAATCAGAGAATGAATTGGAGGGCCTAGCAAAATGGTCATGAAAAGCACAGGCGGGAACGCTTGAGAATGAGCACGAGAAACCGGATAAGGGGTTAAGAACATCAAATGACCCAAATATAGGAAAAGTCAGTAAGAAGAAAAAAAATGCACAAAAATGAGTTTGGACGAGCTAAAAATGAGACAAAAATAGGAAAACAAATCATACTTGAAAAGCAACTGACCACGAACAGGCATAAGGCCGGGGTAAAGAGGGTCGTTGGAAGGTCAAAGGTTTTGATTGTGCAGGAACATGGGAAAAAGCGACCAGACACACAGACTGCACGGTTCGAAGAGCAGATTGCACGATGCATTTTGGATGGCTAAGCTTGGGGAAGAAACACGGACCGCACGGTCCGAAGAGCCGATTGCATGATGCATTGAGGGTGGTCAAGTAGGGAAAGAAACACGAACATCACGGGCCAAAAAATAGATTACATGATGCATTGAGGGATGACCAAGCTTGGGAATGGTAACACGGATTACACCAACCGAAAAACCGATTACATGATGCATTGGGGTGGCTGAACTTGGGAAAGAAACATGGATTGTATGGACCAAAGAGCAGGAAAGTGCAAAGGAAATAAGGGAAAGATTGAAAAGGACCCTGCCAAGCTAAGCACCTATCTCGCCTCACCCCCCCGCCCTTGTCTACCTCTCCCCAAACCGCCTCTTCGTCCGTTAACCACTAACTGGTGCGCGATGAGGACATCGCGAAAGAGTGGGTGGAATGTGTCGGGACCTGTGGGTCCCGAAAGGGCCGAAACAAGTCCGCCGACCCTTGAGAGATTATATACGGCAAAAATGTGCACGACAAAGAAATCAGGAGGCAAGAGAAATAGAAAGGATGAAAGAATAAGACAAAGATTGTCGGCGCCTAGGGCCCTAGAGGATGCCCAGGGCTGCCGGAACCATTGTGCCAAGAATAGACAAATAGAATGACAAGCGGCAAAAGGCCGCAAGAGACAAGTAAAGGCGGCCCTCCGTCTCGAAAGGAGGAGGACCGCCGGAAAAATGATGCCCTGGGTCGAGTGTCGAAGGATGAAAGGCATTAGCTGCCAGTCTAGAGGCTTGGGGGAGACTGTAGGCCAGCAAGAGTGACTATTGAGGCTGGTAATGGTGGTGTTGGACCAAGGAGGTGATCCGCCATAGCCCCCAGGCTGTGGGTGAGAGAGACAAGCTAGTAGGGGTCCATTTAGCCCTCTTGGAGGGGAGGACTCCATAGCCTTAGTGGAGAGAGTTTGCCATAGCTTGAGAGAGGCTGGGGGAGGAAGGAAATGAGGGCTTGAGGAAAAAGAAAGCCATAGATAGGGCAACACATGTGCAAAGAGAGGGAGAGCCTCATCAAAAATAGCACTTCAACACCAAGAGCTTAGAGGAGGTGAGTGGGAATGAGGAGGTGTTCCTTTTCTTCTTCTTCTTCTTCTTCTTCTTCTTCTTCTTTCTCTTCATCCTCCTTCCCTCCTATCTCTTCTCCTCCTCATCCTCCTCCTAATTTCTTCTTCTTCTTCTTCTTCTTTTACTTCTTCTTCCTCTCCTCTCCTCTCTCCTCATCCTCTTGCTCTCTCCATGGCCAAACATCCCATAGGAAGTAGCTCCTCCATTGATAAGTGCCAGGCTTTGAGAGTGTTGGTGAGCATTGTACAAGTGGCTGGAACCACTAATGGAACACGGGATGGGACTTAGGATTTGGGACTGGACCTGGGACTTGGAACTGGGACCTGTGACTAGGGATTGGGACCTAGGACTCAGGACTGGGGCCTGGAGCTTGGGATTGGGACCTGGGAGTTGGGACTCGGACCCAAAACTCTGGTGGCGGTTGGAATCCTTTCACTTTCGGTTAAAGGGTTCATGACTCAACGCATCTATATGGGCCCAGATTCAAGTTGTCAAGGTTCAGCCTCCTGATGAGTGGGTGTCCAACGAAATAACTTACCATCAGTTCAATTTTTGACGCTTTTTATTTTTCTCTGTTCTTTTTGTTTGTTCGAGGTCAGCATGTTTGTGGTTCTTCCTTGGCAATTAATCATGCACTGGATAGCTGGGCCTCTGATGGCTTCCTATACTTGGTTAGTTCTGTGCTGGCAGGAGGGTCCTGCATACTGCGACGCTATGGTGGAGGTTCTCTTAGCCGAAACACACACACACAAACGTGAAAGACCGTACCAATACGGACAAGGGGGAGCAAGCCAACGATCTCAGTTGGTTCGCACCGAGTGTGCCGCAGGCGGTGGTAGCCTGGTAGGTAGGTAGTGAAAGGAAAGTTGAAATTCGGAGAAGAATATAGCTTAGGTGAGAAAAAAGCATGTAGCTGAGATAGAAGTGTTGTTAAACTGATCAAGAGTTCAAATCCAGATGGATAATGGGCAAGTCAAACAAATGCTCGTCGTTTTCGGGGACTTTAACGAACTCCCCAGAAAGTAAAAAGCACTGGAAAATATTCATCTATCAGTAACCGACAGCTCGAAGTTTTCACTTGACTCAGTTGACTGCATTCCCAGAATTGACGATTTTTTACTGAAACAGGGCGGAAATGAAGGTGTTGACAGAAACTCCTTTTCGAGTTTGGACAATGCATCTCAGAGCTCTGTATTTCTGCTGGTGCTTTGCAGGATCACTGTCCGATCTGCGAGTGGGCATGATTGGCCGTTTCGTTTGGCCCGATGTGAGTATGAGCACGATTTTTGCCAAACAAAACTTCTCTATTGTTACTCTTGATGGAGACCGAAACTTTTATTTGGTGGCGAGCCACAAGGACGTTGCAGATGGAGCAGTGAACATTAGCACAATTCCTATAAAAATCGTGCCTCGATTAGCCAGCATGGATACGGACGTCACTGTCAGCATGTGGGTTTACATCTCCTATACTCAGAATGGGCGATATCGGTCTCTGCTGTCCAACGAATTATGGATAGGGGCCTGGAGATTGGTAACCTTTTCGCATAGAAGAGGTGGGAGGCTGGGCATTTTCATCGACAAGAACAAACAGAATCCGGACAGCACTTCATATCACTTTTACAAGGCGCTTTTCATGGACATGCTAGAAACTGGAGTCATCTTCCGTGGGCTTAATGCAAAGATCGGGGATATTTGGATATGGTCGAGGGAGTTATCTGTCTGCGATGTGAAGTTGTTGCGGGACACTGAGTACTACGCTCTGGAGTTCACCAAGTCTGAACCCCTTCAGCAGCAGAAAACAGAAATGTCAATGGCATACATACCCTACTACACCAATCTTTTCCAAAAGCCATTTACAATCCAGATGTGGGTTTACCCTAAGAATGCAGGCGGACATCAAACTCTGCTCGCTCAGAGGAGAGATTCCTCGCAAACGAAAGAGCGAACGCGTGGTGTAAGATCAGGTGACAGCATTTCGACTGCGATAAGCATAGGGATCGTGAATGGTTCGTTATACACATCCGTATATGCAGCTTGTCGAAATCCCACGGGGGGGAACCTGTCGCAGATAGGGGAGTGTTCGTATGATAGGGACCTTGAGTACAGATCGACAACTGCGATCGTCCCCACGAAGAAGTGGAGCCATGTTGCCGTATCTTATAATGGCAAATTATGGTCCTTCTTCGTCGATGGAATCCTACGAGACTCCTTTCATCTACCCACTCGATTCGATATCGCGGGCAGCTCAGACGACGGTTTCCTGTTTCCTCTCTTCAGTTCCCATGTCATCACATTAGGTGCTGAAAGTACGTCAAAAGCCGGCGAAGAGGATCCTTACGGTCGAGACGAGTTGAGCACTCAGCATGGCCGTGATTCTCCACAAGGTTTTCTGGAATGGAAGAGTGCGAGTTCTTATGAACATTTGGGTTATGAGCGGAGATTCTCCGGAATGATTTATGATGTAGCGTTTCTCAACAAGGTCATTGACAAGGCGGACGAGCTAACGGAGTGGATACAGCAATGCTTGACATCTCGCACGCGGCGTCCAGAGCTGAAAAGGTTGGTTGGTTACTGGCCCTTGCAAGAAGGGTCTGGTCTGGTAGCTCCTAACATGATCCGACAAGCACCCCCCATGTATCTCTATTCACATGACATGTGGGCCGCTAGGGATCCCATCACGGGAGATAGCGAAGACCAACTGGATCCACTTCGAACAGAAGTGACAGGAGCTTTTGATATCGAAACAGGCGTCCGTGGTTGCATAGTTATCAGCACTTTTAGTAGGTGCGGTGAGCGGCGATTAGGAAGTAGGGGATTCAAGGAGATGGGCTACAGCATCGACTTCTACAATACTCATGCTTCAGGCCCGAGTTTAACGTACAACGTCACGGATATGTTTGACGGAACTTCCCTTGTTTGCTACAGGTCATATTTGTGCGCGGGGAAGTATCGTTGGGAACTGCTCAATGTTCGTTCTGGTGGTGCGCCTCTTTTGAATGGGACCTTCACTGTACACGCAGGGAGTATTTCGCTCCCCAGAACGACGGTCGATCTGCGTGGTGTACGATGCATGGGGGCAAGCTCCACCGCAATTATCATGGCGAGGGATAAATTTGGGTGCCCTCGTCCTCAAGGAACTGATGTTTTTAGGGGACATTTGAGTGGTCCGAGCGATCTATTCAACATTTCAGCGAAATATACTGGCGCCGCAGGGAAGTACATCATGAACTTCATCGTGGAGGCGGCTGGATCCTATCAGTTGTCCATTCTTCATCACCCTTGGAAACCGAAGTATCCGTTCATCTCTGAGGAAGGTGGGGGATACTTGGATGCACAGGGAATTCATTTACCGAATGAAGCTGCTCTAGCTAGGCCGAATGGCACGCAGACTGGAAGCCCATACAACATTGATGTCTGTTTCGGGTATTCTCTCCACTTCGACGGCTACAGCAGTGCCGAGTTCTTCGAGACCCAAGGCTCCCCAAGTCTGGGTTTGACGGGAACACCCTTTACATTGGAGGCCTGGTTTATGCACAACACTGACCACGAATCGGTAACCCCTCTGTTTCTCCGTTCTCCTTCGGCGAATCCTCCATATCCCCCATTCTCTCCGGGAGCGCCTCCTTCTCCTCCTTATCCCCAAACGCAACAAATGACTCATCCCAAGCGGACTGGTGTGTATAGTTCTATACAAGAACCATCCCCTTCACTCCGTACTGTCTTGCCTGGTTCCCCTACACAGAAAAAGCGCGTGATTCGGAGAGTTTCTGCTAATAGGCGAATACGGGGAACAGCTGGCCCCAAAGAGGGGGCAAAACTTCTAATGCCTAAGGCTACAAATTCGCATACCACGGAGGGGTCAAGCACCCTGAAGAGCTCACGGAACAAAGAGGTTGTGACCGAATCTGTGGATTCATTAACAGCAAAAGAAAGGATGGAACTTTCTAGCCAAAACAGAGAGCAGAAGACCCAAGTAATTCAAAATAAGCATGACGGAGAACATCAGACCGCATCCGGAACATCGCGTGGCCCCGTCAGAGGGGCGCTCGAACTTGACTGGGTGCGACCCATAGTCCAGCCGAAGTACTCGTTAAAGAACAAGTCCAGCGGTGAATCCGAAAGTCTTTTCTGGCGATTTTCAGGACCCAGTACCCGCGAGGGTCCTCGGAGGTTGCAAGAGCTGAAGAGATTTCTCGAGGATCACGAAGCGAGGATGACCACGAAGGCCATGGGAGAAAAGGCCAATGATTTCTCTCTGGCATCCAGGCAGAGTGATACTGTTTCGGCGGAGCCACACTACTTTTCCTTTCTCAAAAGAGAGGACATGCCGCCTGTGACGAGGTATAAAGGCTCCCAAGCGGCTGGAAACTCAAGACTTCAGCTGTCGAGCTCCGTAAACGCTGATCGGGACCGTTACATCTTGTTGAAGGGGGACTTCAAGGGGAGGAGCAACAAAGGATATTACATGAAAATGAACTTACTGAGTGGGGAAGAACGTTGCAGAATCACAGTGGGAATTCGCATGGGAATCGATGCAGAAGAAAGACCTCGTTATCGCGAGATAATGCACGAAAATGTTGCACTGGTTGACACGAGTGGCATAGCAATGTGGAGGCATGTTGCCGTGACGTACGATGGGGAAACGTTTCGCTTGTACTTGGACGGTGAACTCGAGCGCACCCGCAGTTTTGAGACAAAAGAATTTCCAATTGCACACAGTATCCATCTCCCGTTGTCAATAGGGTATGGTTTCGCAGGGCTGGTTGACGACATTCGGTTGTGGAGACGGGCAAGAACACAAACGGAAATTCAACAAGGCATGTATTGCCCCCGCGGAAATCCTGCTGAGGATGGACTAGTGGCACTCATCGGTTTCAACGATGGCATCAATAAGCGTGTGAAGGGTGATAGGAGAATCACCCTCCAGAAAGAGGATGGGTCTGTCCTGTTCGGCGTTATTGACCCAGGACTTCCAGACAACGCTACGTGGTCAGAATGGTCGACGCGCTCGCCGCCCACTCTTGTCGGTTCGTGGGCTTCACCGCTCAAATCAAGCGTAAGGAAACTCCATTTAGATGAGGATCCACGACTCTTACACACAACAGTGTTGACACGCAAGGCATCAATCGAGAGCATCAAACTTGACCATGCCTTCTTTTCTACGATGACGGGAAGGAGGTTGAGGAAACCATTGCCTCTCACCGAACGTGATGAAGACATAATTGCAGGTGCCCCGATCAGACTCCTCGTGCAACCACGTGATCAATGCGGATACTACATGCCCGTCACGCCAGATTTGATATCCACCCGGGTGACAGTGACGGCTGTCATGACCGAACTGCGATGGTTCGGCACCGAACATGACAATTTGGAATATCCAATCACCGTCCGAAGGAGCCACCTCGATCCAGGAGTTTCGGTCAGTCTTTGTCCACTCTCTTACCCTCTTTAACGAAGGAAAAATTGAAGAGAAGTAACAGCTCTGCTTTTTTCCCTGGATTAAACTTGGCCCTTACGACCAAGGCTCAATTCCATTCTGGGATGCCACAAACCCGTTCCTCTTCCATCGTCAGGTCAAGGACAGTACTAGATAAAGGGCATCGCCACACCACTCTCGAAATGTGCAAAATAATGAGAATGAACTTCACGCTAAGACATGGCTTTTTTCACAATTTTGTGTTTTTCACATCTTGAGAGTGGTGTGGCTATGGCCAAAATTCAGGCTCCTCCCCATCGTGAGCTGGGGGCAGGTCTGGAAAATGTCCTCTTTGTTATGATCCTGGCTATTTTGAAGTGCAATAACACAAAGAAAGACAATGCCTTCAATTGCAACTGAAATGAAAGAACTTGGGAAGAGAGAGATTCAATGAACTTGCAGTTTCTTAGGGAGCCGTACCATTACCCGGTCGTTTTTGCCATTTCTTAGGCCCGGGGCCCTAACTTGTAACCCCTGCACGGGCCTGCAGGCCTACTGGTAGTGCCTAGGACTTCTCTGCAAATTCCCAGGCTCTATCTTTTCACTAACGC